ATTTTTGACAAACTGGAACTACAGTTAGTGTCTCCACAGCCATGGCTGGTAGAGTAACCAGTGCCTTAGAATCTGATGATCTTTCCTCAACTGCAGTATCGACAAGAGAGGGCGCTGGCACATAAGCAGTGTCGGTTGAATTACTCAACTTGGCCGCATGAGCCTCAAACAACAATGTACTATTATTGCCTGCACGATCTACTATTGGATTGGGAGGGCATCTGTTAAAAGTGAATGAAAACATAAGAGTATAAAGGTATTACTTTGGATAAACTAGCTAAGTCAAAGATCACAGACATCTATATATTTATTTAGTTTAACACACGAGGATTTGAATCTCGAATGAGGGAATATGACTTAACCAGCAGCGACAATATCACGAAAATATTGCATCCTTGTCAGTATGAGAATGCACTATATAGGATGATGAGTAAAGGATGAACATGTGCATTTAGCCATTAACAACTGGAAGAATGGTTCACTTCATCATTACTGTTGGCTTTTTATTAGAGAAAGAAAATCTTATGAAGAAATGAAATACCCATTTATGGTCTCGAGTGTACTACTACAACGAAACGTAGGAGGAGGCTCCCCATGGCAGAAAGACGACGGGGCTTTTGAAGAATGAGGCTCTAGTGTAAATCCCAGACACTCATCCTGATTATCATGAGAAATTCCAGTCTGAATTAAGGTTTTATTATCATCCCTGACTTTCTTCCCCCGTAAGAGTACGCCGACATGTATACCACGACCAATAGTAGTGCTCACTGCCTCCATAACCGTCCTCTGCAGAACAAAGACACAATAAGGAAGCAAGATAAAGACCAAATTCCAAACAATGAAACTAGTAATCATTCAGTAAATTCATTGCAGTACTGAGAAAGGCATGGAAAACAAGGTAAAAAAACAAGCACTATGCAAATCCTAATAATTCAATTACAGCTCAAAGTCTTTTAAATCAGGGTGTACATACGTGGCAGAAGAAATGTTACCCAGAAATTGATGATTACTATTCCCTCGAAGAAAATTAGGGATTCTAACGGTAAATGTTCAACTCCTTGTAAAACGCAGTGAAGTTCTAAAAAGTCATTTATCAGAATGAAGTACACTTCAAATTTTTTTGTAAGAACTATGCCTTCATTCTTGAGAGCTATCACGAGAAGCCAACTGAGCATAGCGCAACTGACATATTATCGACCAAAAAATCAGAGGTTTAAAAGCTCCAACTTACATAATGTCAAATGTAAAATGCCACGAGAAAATATGTTTCCTTCATGAGCAAGACTATAATGTAGGATTTGTAGAAATGACTTATGTATCATCTCCTTGATCAGACATGCTGAATCACGCAGTGAGTTTCCAACCATACCTTCAGTGAACTAACAGTTGCAGTTTCAGGAATCTCAATGAAAAGTTCGGGTACCCTGAAAGATTTTATCCTCAGCTTCACTAAAAACATACAAAAACATCTTCATAAGATTCTCTTTTAAATGTTTAGACACTATTCACTTCAAAATATAGCATGTCCTAGAGGTTATATACCACGAGAATTCTGATGCCCTGCAACCAAAGATGATTTCCCATGGGCTGCAAGATCAGTTTGAAAATTATAACGACTAAGCCATAAGGAGAAGAAGAAATCTAAATAATAAAAGCGGACTCATATATGAAACACTCCATTATCTCCAGATACAAACCTGAAGATTCCCTTCCAATTTCATTTGAATCCGAAATTTTCTCAACCATGCTTCTACCATTGCAATCTCGAAAGCAACCATCAAAGAGTTTTCTCTTTTTGAAAGGGATATTCATTTGAGATCTTTGGTTCTTGTAGGAGTTTCTCCTATTGAAATTAAATTTCCTTTTATACCCACCTACAGATGAAATACGAAAAAATAGATAGATGTCATAAACAAGTCGACATGACCAGTATTAACTGAATTCTCCAACGATGCAGGCACATTACCTGTTTTGGGTCTCTCAGCTCCATACTTTGCAGCAACATTCCAGTTTTTTGAAGCCAATATTTTTCTTATTCTATGACCCCTAATACAAGGAGCTTTCCTGAAGGAATTTCTTGAAGTAGTTGGGTAAATGCACCCAAAGGAGCTGTTGTCATCATTTCTTACACCTACTTCTTGGCTTGTGGGACAAGGGTGCTGAGGACCATGGTCCTTGCTTGAGGGTACCTTGAAGCCATTTTCTGAACCAACCCACATGTGTGGATTCCAGTCACATACGACTGGATCTGAAGACCTGCACATCGCCATATCAGTGCCACTCATCACCTTCTCTGACTTATCATTCACCATAATCTTATTTCCACCATCTAAATCGTGACCACATGACTTGGTGTGAGTAGCAAAGTCAACATCATTAACAAGATTTTTCATTTCAATGGCTTTCTGTTTTGTCAAAGTTTCAGCAACACCCTTAGTAGTTGAAGTGTTCATTGTAGCATAAGAAATCACATCAGGAAAAAATCCTGAAGGATACTTATCATGGGAAAAAAAATATTCCTTCAAACTACAATCTTGATCGTGACCTGCAAAGCAAAGCTCAGAAATAAGAACGTTTCCTATCAATGGAAAGCTTTCAGCTCCAAATAAACACCTATGCTATTACCCTTTAAAGTTTGCGTATCAGATAAGGTCGTTGGATTCCTCTCAAGCAACAAATTTCCGGCTACAGAGGCCAGCAAGTTAAATGCATACATCTGCTTGTCATCAACTTTACTTCTACTAGCATCCTTCCTCTATCCCCAATTAAAAGACAAGAACCATGAAAAAACAGTAAGAGCCCCAGAATCAAAGACCAGGTATAAGACACAAATGCAACAAAACAGTGGAAGATTTATAAAAGCACCCTAGCTGATCTGGTAGCCCGGGGCATTGAGGGCATCTGGTATCCATTGAAACCATAATCTAGACTATTGTGAAGAACCATAGCTCAGTAACCATCTCACAGTGCAGAAACATATAAACTTGGTCTAAATTTTTGCAATCTCCACAAATCAAATCACTCCAGATTTAGGCCAATGAACAAGGTCCTGCAAGCAAATAGATGTAGTTCATTAATATGAAAGGCTCAGAAGGAACACTGGAGTGAGAACAGCTGTAAGGTAAAAACCACTCTATATAACACGATCAGCTGCAGGGAATTTAAATATTTCGTGTGTACTAAGAATTACCATACTGTGTACTAAACCCCTAGAGATCCGATTCTTAAATTACCGACGGATAAGTGAATGGTTCTTGCAGGGCTGAACGGGAAAAGAAGAAACCTCAAAATTCCAAACCACAACTAAACCCCAAGATTACGAGTGATCATGATCAACGAATGAAAGAATCGGTAATACAGGTATTAGAAGAATTATCATAGAGATCCATGATCCTGTAAAAGAAATGATCGTGAAGAACATGCAATACAACCAAACCCTCAGTTCTGAAGAGAGGAAAAAATTGAAAATCAAAAGTCGTCGGGAGAAAAAAGAAAAAAAAAAAGGGAAAGAAACAAAATCGAATACAATGAATCGAAATTGCATGCTCACAAACATCGATCGAATCTCAAATCTCTTCCTCGAACGTTTTGAAATTCGGACAAACACGCAGAAGAAAATTGAAAAAGTCGATCCGTTTTCTTACCACATTCGTTCTCCGTGATTTCTTCTTTTGTTCAATCCCATCAAAATCTGGACAAACGTTGCTCAAAATGTGGATTTTGCTTTCAACTCTCCGTTAAAGTACCGATGGCCATCACCAAAAACCCTCTTGAAAAAGAAAAAAAAAAAGAAAAAAGAAGAATCTCCCAATCTCGCTTAAACCCCAACTCTCATTGGTCCCGGTCACCGAACCTACCGGTAGCCCTTACCGTCTTTTCAAACCAAACCGACCCACGAGTACTTCAAACGCCCTGACACCTGACACGTGGATGTAAACAGTGTCATGTCCTGTCGTTTGTGAAATTCCAACGTAACCCTCCAATTTACGTGTCATTTAGTCTCTCAAATTTAAAAATTTTATTTAATCAGGTTTTCATCTCTTTAATTTTTCAATTTTTGTCAAATAAATTTATATTATTTAATAAAATTTTAAAAGTGATTAATTTATTTATAAGTTCATATATTTAAATAGTTCAATAACTTATTAATATACAAAAGAAAATTCATGATACAACGAAATGTTTTATATTTGATCTATATAAAATTTTAATTATTAATATAATATATATATATTAAGTAAAAAAAACAAACTTATTTGAGTTGAATTGGGACGTAAATTTTATTTGAGTTTTTCGGCCACCATTAAAAAATTAAATGATTATTAAAATTTCGATTGTAAATTTAAAAAAAAAATAAAAAAAAGTTAAATAATAATCTATAGTAATATCCTACGTGGCAAAATGTTCGGATGGAATTGGCTGCCTTTTGGAGGGTATTATCCCATCGCAAGAGAAAAAGGTGAATTGTGGAGAGAGAAAAGGGAGTGATGTGATGCGATGAGGGAATATTCTTAGAAGATAGCTTTTGACGGCGAAAATACACGGCAGTGCCAGGTGGGATCCACGTTACTTAACTCCGTTAAACTCCCGGATAAGGAATGTGTGGGGGCGTGCCGGGGTGGAATCTAGGCTCGTTAATGCAGCTAAAACTCGAAACGTCGTCGTTTAGTTAGCACTCGTGGGCCTTGGCCCACTTAGCATCAATGTCAACGACAACTCTTATCCGAGAAGTAATGCGTGGTCTGACTCCATGAAAATTAAGTATAAATTCTCCTATCCGGAAATTCTTTTTTTATTAAAAATAAAAATATGGAGACCAATTTGGGCTGGTCTGGGCTGGGCTGGCCCATTAACTGGATTAAGATTTGAGCTATTTTAAAACGACATGTTTAATGGGCCGGCCCAGATTCAAGTGTCTACGTGGCATGGGCATCAACTACCGGATCTTCCACACGGGATCCAAACCCGAAAGTAGGAACCCTGTTCGTGATAAACTCGAAGCTGAAGAAACCAGACATTATTGTTCTTGCGTTTGCAGAAGCGTTTGACTACTAATGGATCCTGCAATTTGAAGTTGATTCTTCCTTGAAAACCCTAGGAGTACTGTGCCTATTGGAGGATTTTATCTGCGCGTTTGCCGGAATTTAGATCTCAACTTACTGTAGATCATTTGGTTATCCGAAAAGTGGTTTGATTGGATTGCCCGGTATGAAAGAAGCGAATCCGGTTAAGTTCAATCTTCACCAGCATCAAGAGCACCAGAATGGTCACTTGGCCCCGTTCAAGCTCGCTAAATTGTTCGATCCAGAGGCCTCCTGGGACAAGGTACTTGAATTTTATGTATTGGATTCAAATTACAGTTGTTTCTGATTGTCTCGTAAGATTTATAATCTTTGTTCTTTATGCGTACGTCTTTAGTGTTGCTGGTTATGTTCGTCATTTTACTGACGAGGATGAATTCAGAATTAGGAATTAAGAGTTCTATTGTGGTGTTGAATGAAGGAATTGTGTTGCCTTATTGCATTTTGCACCGGACCTTTGAATCTCGTTCTTAGTTTCCGTTTATCAACTTTGTCAATAGGATCAGCTAGGAGATGTTTTGCACTGGATTCGACAAGCAGTGGCCGTTGTACTCGGGCTGCTGTGGGGCGCCATACCTTTGGTTGGAGGCATATGGTTTCTAATGTAAGTTGTGCATTCCAAATTTCTGAGTACTCCATTTCTCTGAAGGTACTTATGCAAGACAATTTGGCATTACTGATGAGGTTTGGGTTATTTCTAACAACAAGTATAAGCTGGAGTCCTGATGTGACTTTATTTCATTGTTTTGTATTTTTGCCCTTTAGAATCAACTGAATGTAACGTTGACAGTTTTTAATAGTAATTCTTGAGACTATAGGAGCAGTACGTGGAGAAATGTGATGCTGGCTTAGTATTATGCTGCAAATTCTTCTGTCCTTTCACGATTTTGTATGCAATCCCAAGTGATTTAAATATTAACCATGGGAGTCTTTCTTTCGTTTGTTCTTGACTGTGCTACACATCAGTAGTTCTTTCTTAACGTTGTATGTAAATGTAACCAATTTTTCTTTATTGATTTCTATGTTTATTTACCTGGCGATATCCGTTATCATCGTAGCTTAGGATGAGTATTCTTTGAGAAATGTGGTGCGGGATTTTGATCATGCTGCTCATCCAGTAATTATTTCTTAATTTTGTTTGTAAATGGAAGCTATCTTTACAGTGATAATGTCCCTTTTCAGTTTCTTGGCAATATCGACCAGCATAGTATATGGATACTATGCAATGATTTTAAAAGTTGATGAAGAAGAATTTGGAGGTCATGGAGCTCTCCTCCAAGAGGGGCTTTTTGCTTCTATAACTCTCTTTCTGGTAATTCGACATCTTTGTGCTTTACTATTGATTTATTAAGTAACACAACGCACCATTAACCGTCCACATCTCCAGGAAGGGCTTGTGTTGCTATCAAGTTCAAAATTTTCTGCATCAGTGTAATAATAGATATTGTTCTCTTTGGCTTTCCCTTTGTGAGATCCCATATCAGGTGGAAAGGGGAATGAAACATTCTTTATAAGGGTGTGGAAACCTTTCTCAAGTAGACGCATTTTAAAAACTTTGAAGGGAAGTCTAAAAAAAAACCCCAAAGAAGACAATATCTGCTAGGAGTGGATTTGAGCTGTTACAATCCGTCTCTTGGTCTAGACAGCTGACTTCCTTCTCTCTTTTTTTTTTTTTTTTTTTTCCAGCTTGCTTGGATTCTCGTATACAGCTTGGTACACTTTTGATTGGCGAAGAACGATTTTGCATCATGAAATTACTTGGTGAAGTTCGAACAATGAACTTAGTTATACATATACTTGATGCCCAGCTCATTTACGCTTGCTTCTAATTGGCGGCACAGATTCTTTTAGCATTCATGATGTTGAACAAATTCATTTTTGCAGAGCAGGAAAACTCTAGCATCTGAACGATATGTCTTGATAGATTTTCGATCTCCATTTTGTTGTCGACATTCTTCCATGGCCACAGTGATAGACTAAGGATGTAATCCTTGTTTAATTAACACCTTATATTGGGATCATTTAAATAGCTAGGTGCTTGAGCTTGAAGTTGAGAGATTGACAATGTTGTGTACATTTGATGATGATTGGATAGGCTCCTCATTTTCTCAATGGCTTCTTTTATCCTGCACCAACCTAAGATAACCCAGCAAGCACTTTATTGGTGCGGATTAAGGTTTTTTCAGCTGAAATAAGCTTGCGAAAGATTGCTGTCGCATTACATGATTGGAACTTCAGATTATAAATGACTAAACTGTGGGGAACGAAGAAAAAGCTTCTTTTCCTTTCTTTCTTCTCTGTTTTTTAGGAAAAGAGGGACGGACAGGCTGCTAACTGACAGGACACAACATCGTGAATACTACAGGGAGACCAGGGAAGTGGGAGATTAGAATCTTTGTTGGTTTTTTGTTACTGACTTTTGTCTGTTAAATTGTCCTTATAGAACAGAATCACTGTTGGGTCTATGCTGTATGTGCAATATTATTGGTGATGGATCGTTTTTCATGTCTACAAAAGGTAACATGTTAGACCCATCCTCTTGTATTCCATCTCTAGTTAGTTTTCTTTATTTAAAATCTTCTTTAGGCCTACAGTATTATTTGCTGAATTTCGATTGAAATTTTTTGTGATAGATTAATGAAGTATACGTCTCGAAAATAACCTTTTTTTTAATCTTTTAATTCTCAGATATTTGTCTTATAATTCTGTTGAACTTCAGTTGAGACAATTTGGAACGAACTCCTAAGCTAAATATGAGATGGTCAAAGTTGAAACACTTCTAGTCAAAAGCATTGAAAACCTTTACATGGAGTCCTGATATATTTATATGCTCTCCATAAGAAAGTGGAAATATGCTCTCCATAAGAAAGTGGAAGAGACGGAATAGCCAGTAAAACTTGGTCTTATGTGTAGGTTTGGTTAACTATAGATGGACCAAAAACACTATGTTTGACTCTAGAGTCACCCATAACTTCATGACAGAGAACGAAGCGGAACGTTTGAACATTCTTTGGTATCAACATATAAGAAAGGTCATCAACTCAACCGCCCTTCCCATTTTAGGAAGGATGAGTCTGGATTGGATAAAAACAGAAACAAAGCTTGTTACTGTTTTTAGAAAAAATTGAAAACATTCAAAGTGCTTTATATTAATCAATCAAGAAATGCAAGACCAAACATTAGTGTACTATAAAAGCAATGTACTCTATTCTCGGACCAAGACGTGTCAAAATCCGAAGAAAAGTTTGATGTTTGATTATACCAAATAAAAAGAGGATGTAAAAGCATGAAAAACAAGACAAGATGTGTCCATTATGGACAATGCCCCTTTTTGCTCATCCTTGCTGCTTTGTATCCTTTAATAATACCCACTCAGCAGACAAAGCTGCCTGTTTTGCTTGCCCAAAATTGACATAAAAAGCTCTACAAATGTCTCTTGGTCTCTCATCAATGCACCCAAACCAACCACAATATCAATCAGCCGCTCCACAGGAGACCACCAGGCAACATCATACCACTTCCTCAACAAAATGCATCATTGTGGTCTTCAAGTGCTTCTCCCCCGCAAATCTTCCCTTAATTTGTGTTACTTTGGCTTTGGAGGACCCATGGCTCACCAAAATGCATTATTGTCCTTTTTTAAAACGGTTCATTTTGATCCACTACTCTCGACTTTGTTAGTTGTGATTGGCTTGGTTGCTACAATTATTTTTTCTCCTAATATCTACTCATTCAATACTCACCTCAAATAGCCCGAAAGGATATCGATACATGTTCACGTTAGCACACAAACGCATATACTTGAAGTTATGTTATTTAAAAGTTTGAAAAAAACTATAAACTATATTTTAAAAATATTTAACTTGTCATCTGCATTTAGTAGAGATGTCCACGGAGCGGGGATGGAGAAGGGGAATCATTCTCCGTCCCCGTTTCTGTCATCTATTTCATTCATATTCTCGTGAAATGCTCCATTTATTTTTACAGGATTAAGTATCCGACGAATAATTTATTCTATTTATTATTTTTTAAAAAAAATTATAGTTATTTTAAAGTTTTTATTTTCAATATAATGTTTAATAAAAATTGGTAAAAAAAAAATCAATATATTTCATAAGTAAATATATAATCTTCCACTGATATAATTCTAAAAATTCAAAATTTAATATTACAACATAATCTTTAATAATTAAAAAAAATTACTAACATTCTATTTAATTTAAATATTATAATTAGAGTATCAAAATTAATTAATTTTTTTTAATAGGAGGGAAAAAAAGTATGTATATACATATTAATAGGTCAGAACAAAGAACATAATCTCGTCATCGGTCCCTAAAACAATATTGTTTACTCCCTACTTCCATTTCCGTCTAAATGAGAAATTTCCTCTCCATTCAGGAGCAGGTCGGGTCTCTGCCTCACGGGTAATGTGAACATCATAAAAAAATATCATAAAAAATAGTTGGTTGTCTTTTTGAATCCGTACACTCCATTTACAGAGCATTAGACATTATGATGATTATGGCTAATTAAGGTATGATTATGGCTAATTAACCCATTGCTTAACAAAAAAGAGAGTTAATTTAATTAGGCCACACCCCAATTGGCGCTACACTCTTTTCAACTCATCACATTCTTCATCTTATTTATTTATGACCAAACTAACCCTGTTGAATCACCATGTGCCCCATATGGCTACTCTCCAAATCATCTACCTTATTCATACGTAACGCTCTATTAAATATCATTTCTTTCCTTTTGACTTTCCAATATTTTACCATTTTAGATCAACATGCTATCATTACCCTTCACATGCTTTATACCCTTATATCACAAACTTCTAATTAATGTTAATCATTATCCACTTGTCGTACGAGTTTCGCATGCATTTGCTCCCACCGACCCTACATCTTCACTTCGGTTCCTATTCTACTCATAACGTTCGTCTACATTGTTCTCTTTCGACTCTTCCTTTTGAGTTTTCTCTCAAGATTTTAAAATGCGTCTCGAAGGGAAAGGTTTCCATACTCTTGTAAACAATATTTTGTTTCACTCTCCCACACTTTTCTACCGATGTGAGATCTCATAATATATTTTATAAATAATTTAAAATATTTAGAACCGTTGAGGAGAAGTTGAGAAACGTTGACAATTATATATATGCATATATATTTGTAAAGAATGTTTTGTTCCACTTTTCAAATGACGTGGGATCATGGATCTCAGATGTATTTTACAAATAATTTAAAAATTTTAGAATCGTTGAGGAAGAGTGGAGTAAGGTCGTTAATTATATATATATATAATATAATTTTAATTTTGTTAAAATTTTAAATAATTTATTATTTTTTTTTTCTAACTTTAAATTAAAATTGCCAATTATGTTTGCATTTGCCTTATTTGAGTTTTCCTTCCCCGCCGGTGCGCAAACAGCAACCATGTGAAGACAACTGAGAACTCGCTTTAAATTATTAGAAACCCCACAACCGCGCTACCCTGTCGTGTAATCACGCGCTTGACGGTGCCGCCAAATTGCACTTTTAAAAAAATTTCAACCGCATTGACTGACGGTCAAAACCCTTCAATTTAACCCAAAAGACTCTATTGGGTAAATATATATATATAAACTTATGTGGTTATTACATTTAATTTTTTAAAATTATATTTGTCAAATTGTTTATTACGTTTTTCCTTAATATTATCGAATATGAAATGTCTTATTTTTTAAAAAATAAAAAATATTAGAAAATTACAAAATTCAAAGAGGGCACATGTATAGCCTTAAAAGTCAATATGAAACCTTTGAAATTAATATGAGATCTGACCAGAAGAGGCTATTGACCATTCAACCCTTGCTCTTTTTATTTAAATAAAAAAATCCATTTATTCAGCTAAAAAGCAAACAAAAATTATATTTCAACCGGCATTTAATTTTTTCACCTTAAAGTTCACAACAAAAACAAACAGTAAACAGTAAAAAAGTAAAACAGACTGCCAAGCGCTCTTGTCCACCGAGCCGGTCAAACTTCAAACCCCAATGTACGAAAATTAAATGCAGCGTCGATTGCGGAGATCTGCGGGTCCACCTCAGTCCACGTCGGATTCTCGGTGGCTTATAGGTACAAAATCCAGATCCACCTGGACCCCGCACCCAGTAAAAAAAGCCTTTTTAAAAAAAAAAAAATTCTTAGATTAAAAATTAAAATCCAACCACAGCCGCTCATCACGCCTCTGATTCCGATTCACGCAAAGAAGCTTATAGCATATAATAATTATTTTACTTTAATTCTAATAAACCAAAAAAAAAAAAAAAATTCTTTTTTTCGTACGAGATCGTACTCAATTTCCTTATCAAGAATATTTAGCCTTTAATATAATAAAAAACAAAAATTATTTCCCTAAATTCATTTTCCACGGTGGCAGTCCTCCACCTCCATAAGTACTCCACCATCCCTGTCCTTTCTCCGACATCTCCATTTCCTCTCTGTTCTGCAAGGCTTCACCTTTTTCACAGAAAAATAATGGCCGCCATTATTTTTCTCTGCATTGCTTCTCTTCTCCCATTTTTCCTTGTCGTCGACGCTAAAATCCCCGGCGTTTACACCGGCGGCGCCTGGCAGAATGCTCATGCCACCTTCTACGGCGGTTCTGACGCTTCCGGTACCATGGGTATGTTCTAATATGCTCGTTACATTTTCAGTTATTTCCGATGTGGGTTGTTGTTCAATCACTGTTCAACACTAATTTATGGTCTGTTTTTTTCAGGCGGAGCTTGTGGGTATGGGAATTTGTACAGCCAAGGGTATGGAGTCAACACGGCGGCGCTAAGTACGGCTCTGTTCAACAATGGGCAGAGCTGCGGTGCTTGCTTTGAAATTAAGTGTGCTAATGACCCAAAATGGTGCCATTCCGGCAGCCCGTCGATCTTGGTTACTGCTACCAATTTCTGCCCGCCGAATTATGCTCTTCCCAACGACAATGGCGGCTGGTGTAACCCTCCTCGGAGCCACTTCGACCTCGCCATGCCCATGTTCCTTAAAATCGCCGAATACCGTGCCGGAATTGTCCCCGTCGCTTACCGCCGGTAAGTTGGTAGGATTTGAACGGGAAATAAGCATAATCTATTTATATAATTTTACTAGTTTGAATTTTCTCTCTAATGTTGTATTTAATTACGCAGAGTGCCATGCCGGAAGCAGGGAGGAATCAGGTTCACGATCAACGGTTTCCGTTACTTCAACCTGGTTTTAATCACCAACGTCGCGGGTGCAGGGGATATCGTGCGGGCTAGCGTTAAAGGATCAAAAACTGAGTGGATGAGCATGACGAGAAACTGGGGGCAAAATTGGCAATCCAACGCCGTGTTGGTGGGCCAGGCTTTGTCGTTTAGAGTGACCGGCAGTGACCGGCGAACCTCAACGTCTTGGAACATCGTGCCCGCCAATTGGCAGTTCGGCCAAACTTTCACCGGAAAAAACTTCCGTGTTTAACCGCGAGTTACTTTCTTTTATTAATTTACATTTTTAACCTTTGTGGCGTCGACTTTTAGGTGCCGTTGGTAACGGGGAGGAGTGTTGTAGTAGGGTCGTGGTTGTCTGAATGTCTGGCTGTAAAACTAATCTGATCTGAGCGTAATTTAGAGCAAGGGTTGGGGGTATTATTGGAAGAATATTTAGACAGGGGTTTGTTCGGTTTTCTGGTTGTGTGACCGTACATGGCTGAAGCGGCTGAATGAAGATTATGGCCCGCAGTCTTCTTTTACAGACACAATTTGAGTGTTACAGAGTTATTTCCAATTATATGTATTTTCTGTATTTTATTTTCCGTTTGTTTTAATTATTGTAAATTTTAAATTAATTGTATTACTGCTTCAAGGTTGAAAAGTAAATGATTATAAAAATAAATGTTCTTTTAAAAAAAAGCGTGTGAAATAGATATCGCCGTCTGTGGGAATCGAACCCACGACCACATGGTTAAAAGCCATGCGCTCTACCAGCTGAGCTAAGACGGCTGCTTCAGAATAACATCTTAAATTATTAAATATTTATATTCATAAATTAATTTTGAGAGGAATAGACTTTGTTATTATTATTTTTAATATATATATATATTAAAAAAAAATAATAATAATAAATAAAAGAAACCAATCACAATATTTCAATGTTGTGGGGAAAAATATTAAAAGAGTTGATATATTTTAAAATGTTGAATTTTAGTTTCTTTATTTCCAATTTTTTTTTTACAAGAAGCTTATTGTAAGTCTAATTTAAAATATAAGGACTAAAATTAGATATTTAAATAGATGAATATCAAAACTAAAATATTAAATATTACAATTTGTTTTTAAATTTTGAAGGGAAAAAAAAAAGGAAACTAAATTTTCAAAATCCTCTTTTATCCACGTTAGCAAATTGGGTTGGGCTTAGACTGGGCCGGGTAACAAGTATAGAGTCCAAATGGGCTGGGCATTCCAAACTGGGCCGGGTTATAAAAGTGGGGGATATTAAGGCCCAAGAAATGATTGAACAAACAACTCGGCTCATAAATTATAAAAAAGCAATATGAAAGCGAGACAATTGTGGGGTTTATTTATAATGAATGATGTTGATTGGGTGAAGGTAAGGTAATAGAAGTTGCTTGTAAGAGACGGAAAAGGCGTATGATCTCCACCTTCCTTCATTATGAACCCCCAAATTAATTAATGTTCAACCGATGTTTTCTAATTATGACTACAAAACATAAGGATTAAGCTTTTTTTTCTTTTTTTTTTTTCAAAATTGAAATCCGATGCGATCGCAGCCTCCGGTGGCATGTCGGCGGTGTGTCACAATCGTTTGACTGACAATTGTGCAGTACTCACTCTTGACACTAAGTGAGTCAAACCAATTTGAAATCGTCTTGTCTACTGGGGGCGATGTATGCTCAAGTCCCTGACTCCGTTTTGAGAAGAAAGTTTTAGAAAACGAAGACTTTACACAATCGCACTTTTGAAGACAATAGACTACCGATTGTGCGACACTCACTTTCCAACGACAAGTGAGCTAAGCCAATTTGTTCTTGCGTCGCCTACGACCAAGCGACGTATGATCGAGGCTCTAGCTTCGGTTTTAAAAGAAAGTTTTAGAAAACGAGGGCAGAGATATTTTAGAAAGACACTTTATATAAGCAAGCAAGAGAGAGATAACACTTATAATATATAACCTTGGGTAGGGAGAAGTTGACTCAACGACTTAGATAACATATAACTACAGGTAGGAAGAAATGACGACTAGTCTCATCTCCTAAAAGGGATTTAGGTCCAACAGACATACAATCATACAAACAAAAGATAGAATACAATGTGAAAGAAAATAAAGGGTTTAGGTGTCACTGGCATGCAGTCATGGGCAACACGCCCTGAACAAGCATGACTGTAACACGATACAGAAGAAGGGGTTAAATTACATTGCTACCCCTAATGAAATCCTAATTTGCTTTCATATTGTATTGTATCTTTTGTTTGTATGACTGTGCGCATGCGGTCATAGACAACACGGCTACCCTCATGAAATCCTAATTTGTAAGTGAGACCTTAACTAACGTAGGGACCCTCCTTCCAAGTGAGCTACCCGATCCAGTTTTGGCCTTCAGCGTCTGCGACTCGGTCTGCAACCCCTCGTGATCCTCTGACTCTCTCTTTCTCTCTCTATAACAACTATGGGCCAAAAGGAAATGGGTCTTTGTTTTCTTTGCTCGATTACCTAACGCTCTTCCATTTTTCAAATGAAAACGCTCAACCAATCCCACTTGGTTTTCATTTTTTCCTCTCACCTCTCATTTGACTTGATCGTCTTCTTCCTCTACCCTTTTTTCTCTTCCAACATTCCGATTCTGCAACTCCACAACTTGTTTTGAAGCAATGAAGTGCTTCCACTTCACCAATGGCGAGAGAAGGGATGATGAAGACGCCGTCGTTTCTAGAGTCTCCAAGGTCTCCTGGGCTCGTTCGCTAAGTATGGCTTCTAGCACTTTTGATACCAGGCGGTCCGAGTTCGATTCTGACTTTTCTAGGGATGTTTCCGACTCGATTGGGTTCGATGAGTTCTTGACTCACCGGAGAGGGAATGATCTGCGCGTTTTTTCCTTTTCCGAGTTGAGATCAGCCACGCGAGGGTTTAGCAGGGCATTGTTGATTGGGGAAGGAGGTTTTGGTTGTGTGTTTAAAGGAGTTGTTAGGGCTTCTGGTGATGATAATGGTGGCTCCAGTTCCAAGTCTGATTTGAAAATGGAGGTTGCTGTTAAACAGCTCAATCGCAACGGCTTCCAGGCATGGCCTTCTATTTCTTTTTCTTCTTCTTAGTGTTCATGAATGTTATTGAATGATCACAACTTCGGATTCTCTGGTGTTTAGTATCTTGGACTTGATTGCTTCCCCTCAATCTTGTAAATTCTTGAAACGCAATGTTCGAATTCGTTGTATTACTTTTTGTTTTGAATATTCGGTGGTTTTGTTTTATTTGATTTGTCCTGATGTTCGATCACTGTGACAATCCTGTATAATTTTCCAGTAAAACCCCCCAAATTGGGAATGATTCAAGCGGATTATACTTGTTCATGGTTTTACAAGTGCCTTCGAGTCAAATCTGATCAAATTTTCAAACAAATTCTAGTACTCAGGGGCACAAAGAGTGGATCAACGAGGTGAACTTTTTAGGTGTGGTGAAACATCCAAATCTTGTGAAATTAGTTGGATACTGTGCAGAAGATGATGAAAGGGGAATGCAAAGGCTTTTGGTTTATGAGCTTATGCGCAAGAGGAGCTTGGAGGATCATCTATTGGTTCGAGTATCTTCACCATTGTCATGGTTGGCAAGGCTTAAAATTGCTCAGGATGCAGCTCGTGGTCTTGCATATCTACATGAAGAAATGGATTTTCAGGTACAAAATCATGTTCTGCCTGTTCCCTGAAATAGACAATCTACTGTTACCATGATGTTTCAGATTTTATCTTGTCCTGCCATGTGAAGTAAATACAGATTTTGTGTCTTGTGGGAGAGCATGTGTTTGATAGTTGCTTGTGGCTTTCGTTGTATTTAAGTGATTTGGATCTACTTTTGTTCGATGCAGCTAATTTTCCGCGACTTAAAAGCATCAAATATCCTGCTAGATGAAGAATTTAATGCGAAGCTTTCGGATTTTGGACTTGCCAGACAGGGTCCTCCGGAGGGAATCAGTCATGTGTCAACATCGGTATGTTTAACCTTCTTATCCTGTTTCTTGCAACTGAACTTATCATAACTTTTGGAAATACTGAAGAATACTAAAATCATTTTTCACAATCGTCAAAAACACTGCGAATTACGTCTCCATGAAGTTCTTAATTAGTGCTGTTCTTGGAAACTGGTTGACCCAAGCGTACTGCTGACCGATATTGTTTTTTTTTTGGGATTTTCCTTTCGGACTTCCCCTCAAGGTTTTTAAAACGTTTCTGCTAGGGAGAAGTTTTCACATCTTTATAAAAAATGTTTCGTTCACCTCCCCAACCGATGTGCGATCTCACATTCCACCCCCTTTATGGCCCAGCGTACTCGCTAGCACACTGCTTGGTGTCCACCCCCTTCAGGGCTCAACGTCCTCGCTGACACACCGCCCAGTGTCTGGCTCTGATACCATTTGTAACGGCCCAAGTCCACCACTAGTAGATATTGTCCTTTTTGGGCTTTTCCTCAAAGTTTTTAAAATGTATATGTTAGGGAGAGGTTTTCACATCCTTACAAACAATGGTTCGCTCTCCTCCCAACCTATGCGAGATCTCACAATCCACACTATTCAGGGCCCAACCTCCTCGTTGGCACACTACCTGGTGTCCACCCCGCTTCAAGGCTCACCGTGCTCGCTGGCGCACCGCCCGATGTTTGACTCTGATACCATTTGTAACGACTCAAACCCACCGCTAGTAGATATTGTCCTCTTTGGGTTTTCCCTTTTGGACTTCCCCTCAAAGTTTTTAAAACGTGTCTGTTAGGGAAAGGTTTCTACATCCTTATAAAAAGTGTTTCGTTCTCCTTCCAAGCCAACGTGGGATCTCATATATAGTTATTTCTTTTAGTAGGTTGTTTTGCAAGATCAACTAATCCTATTCTTGCTGCACTCTTTAGGCATATCTTACATTATTGCTTTAAAGCTATTTCCTCTGAATCACAGAAGATGTTTCCTTCTGATAACAATGTATTTGTCTTTCAAGGTTGTGGGTACAGTAGGCTATGCTGCTCCAGAGTATGTCCAAACTGGCAGGTTGACTGCAAAGAGCGACGTGTGGAGCTTCGGAGTTGTTCTCTATGAACTCATTACAGGAAGACGAGCTGTGGAGAGAAACCTACCACGCAACGAGCAGAAGCTTTTGGAATGGGTTAAACCATATGCGTCTGACCCTAAGAAGTTCCATCTTATTATTGATCCACGGCTCGAAGGAGAATGTGACATTAAGTCAGCACAGAAACTTGCATCACTGGCTAACAAATGCCTGATGAAGCAGCCTAAAAATCGCCCAAAAATGAGTGAGGTTGTCGACATTCTTGGAAACATCATCAGTGAATCACATCAAGATGAAACAGTTCCTCAACCGAGCGACAACATCATCGTGGAAACAAAGGAAGAAACTGTGGAGGAGGCTGAAGTCGAGGCTGCTAGTACTACTAGTAGTAGTACAAGGCATAGAAATAGTCATCTAAGGAAAGTTTTTGATTTTAAGGATATGGTGAGCTTGAGAAACAAATCTTTTGGGAAGTTAGATTGGAGAAATTGGACACCTGGGTTGGTGAGAACTTGGTAACAAGCTTTGCTTATTCTTTGGTAATTGCATAACAGCCCTCCATTTTCTCTGTTTTTGCCATACCTCCAAAAATCCCTTCATTATTTCATTCATTCAAATTTCTTGCCTTTTATGTGATAATATTCTCACGAACTCCAAAGAGAGTGACTGTGGAAGGAAGGAATGAAGAACAACTGAGTGGCAACTAGCGAGGAAGAGGCGCTAACCGAAGAGAGCGACTGTGCTAGGAGGATATGGGTGTGGTGGAGTTGTCGACTTTGATGTGCAAGGAGGACGTGGGTGTGGAGTCATCGACTGTATTGTGCTGTACTGAGTTCCGACGGGTGAGTACCATTATGCGAGGACTGTATTTTGCTGAACTGAGTTGCGACCCGTGAGAAAGGTACTGGAGTAGGAACTTGTTAAGAGATAGAAATAGAAAATAGAATTGGAAAAACTGTATGATCTTCATTCAGGTTTACCACGTTTAAATAGATATAAACTATTAACTAATATCTGAAAATAGAAAATAATAATATATCTAGCTAAATCTTGTAAATAAATAAAATATACGATTAATCAAATTTATACTAACAACTCCCTAAATATCTGAGATATATTTTAACTAATATATCTCCAAAATATCCTCTTAATACTCCCCTCAAGTTGGAGAGTGTATGTCGATCACACCCAACTTGTCCTTCAAAAGGTCAAATTGCTGTCTTCCCAGAGCTTGAGTAAAAACATCTGTCAATTGCATTTTGGTCGAAATATAACACGGTTTGATGATTCCAGCTTGTAACTTTTCTCGAACTATATGACAATCTATTTCAATGTGTTTCGTACGTTCGTGAAAAACTGGATTGACTGTTATATGTAATGCTGCTTGATTATCACAATATAATAATGCTGGTTCGGACAGTGGAACATTCAAGTCTTGAAGAATGTATCTTAACCAAGTTAACTCTAAACAAGTATTTGTCATAGCTCGATACTCGGCTTCTGCTGATGATCTGGACACATTAGTCTGCTTTTTAGACTTCCAAGAAATAATTGAATTTCCAACGAAAATGCAGAACCCAGAAATAGACCGTCTGGAAGTTCGACAACCACCCCAGTCAGAATCGCAATATGCTTGTAATCTTAAATTGTTTTCAGATGGCAGTAGGAGTCCTTGACCAGGAGTGCCTTTGATATACCTCAGAACTCAAAGAGCTGCCTCCCAATGTGGTTTTCTTGGTTCATGCATAAATTGGCTAAGCATACGAACTGAATAAGCTATGTCAGGCCTAGTGACAGTCAAATATATTAATCTGCCAATCAACCGTCTGTATTTACTTGGATCGTTCAATTTCTCTCCTTCAGTTAAAGAAAGTTTCAGATTTTGCTCCATAGGAAATTTGTCTGGACGTGCTCGTGTAAGGCCTGTGTCTTGAAGGATGTCTAGAGCATACTTCCTTTGAGACATAAAAATTCCTTTTTTAGACCAAGAAAATTCAATGCCTAGAAAATATTTCAAATTTCCTAAATCTTTGATAAGAAATTTCTGGAGTAAACTAGTCTTGAGATATTGCATTTCTTTGAGATCATTGCCTGTCAACAGAATATCATCAACATAGATTAGAACTGCAGTGAAAGAAGTACCTTTACTCTTGGTAAACGAAGAGTAGTCTGCTTTGGACTGAGTGTAGCCTGCATTTTGTATAGTTGTAGAAAATATGGAGAACCAATTGCGAGAAGCCTGTTTTAATCCATAAAGAGATTTATGGAGCCGACATACTGTATTCTCCCCCTGTCGGCGAAGATCTGGTGGTAAAGACATATAAACTTCCTCGTCTAGATTACCATGGATTAAGGCATTTTGAACATCCAACTGATGGGTGAACCATTTTCGAGCAGCAGCAACAGTGAGTAAGCAACGAAGTGTAGTAAGTTTTGCTGTAGGGGAAAATGTTTCTGTGTAATCAATACCTTCAACCTGAGTGTATCCCTTTGCTACAAGTCGAGCTTTATAACGTTCAACAGAACCATCAGAGTTGTATTTAATTTTGTACACCCAGCGACAACCAATAGCTTTATGACCAGGTGGTAGAGGAACGAGAGACCATGCATGATTACGTTCCAAAGCTGCAATTTCATCATTCATAGCCTGCTGCCATAAAGGGTCGCCAACTGCCTTGTCATAGGTTTTAGGTTCTGTCCGGGATGTAATAAGAGCTAGAAAAGCACGTTGAGTAGGAGAAAAACGAGAGAATGAAAGGTAATGATGAAGGGGATACCTGGTGCCAATGTCGGGACTTGAGCTAGAGGTTAAATGATTGGCTCCAGAAGACATCTCATAATCCTTATGCCAAGCTGGAGGCTGTTTAGTGCGAGTAGAACGTCGGAGTGGAGCTGATGTATCAGGCGGGATAGGATTGGAATCAGTGGGCAAATCTGGAGAGGGTGGAGGAGACGACGAAGTAGTAGGTGAAGGGATAGGAGGTGAAGGAGGAATGGAAGGTGGAGGATGGATGCTTAAGTAGGATGGATCATGAAGTGGAACAACAGGAGTCGAAGGAGCTAATGTCGAAGTTTGTGAAGCTGATGAAAAAGGAAAATCATCTTCACAAAATTTAACATCACGACTGATAAAGAATTTGTGAGATTGCATGTCATACAATTTGTAACCTTTATGACCACAAGGATATCCTACGAAAACACAAGAAATTGCCCGAGGTTCAAATTTTTGCTTAGGATGTACTATAGTTGCATAACATTTACAACCAAAAACTTTAAGATGATGAAATGTAGGTGATCGTTTGTAGAGTGCTTCAAAGGGTGTCTTGTTAGATAACACTGGTGATGGCGTTCTATTTATAAGATAAACAGCCGTTAAAACGCACTCTTCCCAAAAATTAAGTGGAACCTGTGACTGAAAAAGAAGAGACCTAGCTACATTTAGGATATGGCGATGCTTACGTTCTACGACTCCATTTTGTTGTGGAGTATAGACACAAGTGCGCTGAAATTCAATACCACAAGAAGTAAAGAATGGTTGCAAAGATAGGAACTCAGTCCCATTGTCTGATCGAACTATCTTGATAGTAGTATGAAATTGAGTTTGAACAAATTTAACAAAGTTCATTAACAAATGATGTACTTCTGACTTATGTTGCATTAGAAAAACCCAAGTACATCGAGTAAAATCATCAACAATAGTGAGAAAAAAACGCAAACCAGAATGGGTAGGAATTTTATGTGGTCCCCAAACATCACAATGTATCAGATCAAAGGCAGAATGAGTTGTTATTGAACTTCTTGGGAAAGACAACCTAGTTTGTTTTGCTAACGGGCAGATACTACAATTATGAGAATAACTCGCATTATTAAGATGCAATTGATCAGCTAGAAATTTAAAACGAGAAAAAGAAGGATGACCTAGACGTAAATGCCACAAATTAGATGACTGAGATATTTGATGAGCTAAAGATTTGATTGGAGATGAAGAAATATGATAGAGACCTCCAAATTGTTTACCCGAGCCAATCATCTTCCCCGTAGCCAAGTCCTACATAACACAAGAATCAGGATAGAAGGTGACATAACATTTCAAGTTATTGGTAAGTTTGTTGATCGACATTAGGTTTAAATTGAATGAAGGCACATATAAAACGTTGTTTAACTTAAGGTTAGGGCTAAGGAAAATATTGTCAGTATGTGACACACGTGCTGTCTCTCCATTAGGCAAATTTATTGTAGACATGATGGCAGCCTTTGGATCAGTCATAACAGAAGATTTTGATACTATATGATCCGTAGCTCCACTATCGAGAATCTATGAATTAGAACTCGCAGAGTTAACAAATAATGTAGACATGAGAAACAAACCTGCAACATTGATGTGATTGTCAGAATTACTAGAAGGGTTTTGATTGATTGCAGATAAGGCTTGTGCTATCTGTCGTAATTGCTCAGAAGAAAAATTTGGAATGGAATTAGGTGATTGTTCTTCTGTATTCAACTGTGAAACATCGGCCATATTTGCAGATGATCGGTATCCACGATGATTGTGTTGATTGACTTGTCTTGTCCTTGTAGAATTATTTTTCTGTCGACACCGATCTTCTGTATGTCCCCTTCTATCACAAAACTTACAATGAAACTTAAGAATTCGACACTCATTGATTGTATGACCACTTTTATTGCAGTGTTCACATGATTTGTCCTTGGCGAATTTTGAATATGTTGTTTTCTTCTGCACTGCTGATGCAATCGAGAAATTCTCAGTAGGTTCAGAAGTTACCTGTCGCTGCATCTCTTCTTGTACAAGTAATGAATAAGCTTGCCTCACATTAGGTAATGGAGACATCATCAATATGTTAGATCTCACCGTTTTATAAGACTCGTTGAGCCCCATGAGCAATTACATCAACTTGTCTTCTTCGCGTTGATCAATATGTATTTGACGTTGATTACACGTAAATGGTGTGCGGTACGCTTCCAGTTCATCCCAGAGTGCTTTGAGCTTGGTGAAATATGTTGACAGTGCCATGGTTCCTTGTGACATCGTTGCTATCGAGTTTTGTATTTGAAAAATTGCTGGAGCATTCTTTTGTAAGAATTGATCTCGAAGATCAACCCACACTTGATGAGCTATCTTGGCGTGAATAATGCTTTTAGCGATATCTGCTTCAACAGAATGAGTTAACCAAGATATTATCATACTGTTGCACTGATTCCAGAGTTTGAATTCGGTTGAATTTGCATCTTGGGGCGGTTCCTCAATTTACTCCAAGATTGGTAATTTGCTCCATTTAATTTGATTGGAACAAGTGAATATCCTGGCTGATCATAGTGATGCATATAGTAAGGATGTGTTAAATCAACATTCGAAATTTTAAAGCTGGATTTGGCTGATTCCGCCATAAAGGAAATTTTGATATTTAAGAACACCACGATCGATGCTCTGATACCATGTTAAGAGATAGAAATAGAAAATAGAATTGGAAAAGTGTATGATCTTCATTCAGGTTTACCACGTTTAAATAGATACAAACTATTAACTAATATCTGAAAATATAAAAAAATAATATATCTAACTAAATCTTGTAAATAAATAAAATATACGATTAATCAAATTTATACTGACAACTCCCTAAATATCTGAGATATATTCTAACTAATATATCTCCAAAATATCCTCTTAATAGAACTTGAAAGATTTACTAATGACAACTGAATTTTTATGCCCTCGCAGAGGACTTATGTGTGCGTCGTGGCTGGAGGAGTACACATACGATGTGGGATCTAATGATGGTAAACTAAACGTGGGTTGAGCTTGAACTCGTACCAACTTGAACCGGATTGAGTCCTAACAAAAATCCATCCCTAACCCTTATATTTTGAGTTGATGTAAGTCATGTCGATGTCTAGAGAACTTCTAGATGAAGCGAAGTAGGTAGAGAGAGTTAAGGATATGATTGTCTGTGAAGCCAATAGATTTAATGTGAGCTATGAATTCTTTAAATATCTTGCTATGATATATATTTTTTTAGTTTAGTATTTTCACAATTTCTTATTTTTGTAAAGTTATGTCAAAGTTTATTGTCCATAACGTGTATCTTATTACCTCGATTGTTAGAGGTATCACTAGGAGCCTTTTGCTCATCTGATCCATGTGGGTCTTAGTGGACTTATATGAACGGTGAGCCGATGACTCTCAAATATATTACTAACTTTAAAAAATATTCATTGAATTTTAAAAAGTAACATTAAAACCATTCATCTTTATAAAAAGAAGTTTAAAAAAATTCTTACCATCAATATCTAGACGAAAACTGTCTATCGACACTTTATAAATTATCTTCAAATTTGTTAGTATTACTTAGTATTAATACTTTTTGAAAGTTATTATTTTTAGAATGTTTTTTTAAAATTAGAATTAAAGTGGTAATAGTTTGAAGATATTATAAAGTTGAATGACATTTTTATTAATTTAACCATATAAATTTAATTACTTTCCAAATTAACTAAATACAAAATTTAAAATCCCTTCCATATAAAATTAAATAAATATATTATATTATATATTTATCCACATGCCGGTGGATGTGACATTTTAAAGTTGATGTCATATCACTTAATTTATTAAAAAGCAAATACTTTAATCTAAATTATTTGTGATACACATTCTTATTATGTCATATCACTAAGGGGTAGATTCCAAAAATAGCAAAATCACATCAATTTATTTAATAATTAATTCTAAATTATAAAATAAAAATAAATTATGCCCACCCATTTGGTATAGTGGATGTCTATTTTTTGGTCAAATATCAAATATTAAAATTAAATTTAATGGTTGTTTTGTCTTATTGTTCTAGCTTATCACATATAAGGAATCAAAATATCCAACCTTACAAATTATTTGTGGTTATAATATGTTCAAAAATCTAATGAATATTAATGTTGGCCTCAAAATAGTATAAGCTCTTACCCCATTTTTGTGCTTATCAGCCACATTAATATCATAATGAATTCGACATGTTATATAACTAAGTTGTAAAAATGAGATAAGTTCCGTTATTGTTCGATCTCAACCGTGCAACGAAACGACGAGAATTTGAAACGATTTTAGTTTTTTTTATTTAGATTCAGTAGCTTTCCCTAGAAATCATACTCTAATAATCAGAATTCGAAACGAATTACAAACCAATCCAAGAAGCGCCACGGAGGAATGACTAAAAAAACTGTACAGTTCCTGTAGATTGGAATGTATCTACTAACTTCCTCGATTTTGTTATGAACCATCTCAATCTAGTTGTTTGATCACCATCTTATGTGTGGAGGGTTGAAACAGAAGGTCGGGGGTATGCTTGAACGCTATTTGGCTTATGGGAATCATCGGCGCTATGCCTACGAGCACGACGATTATTGGTTGAGTTCCTGTTGCTGGTAGGGAGTATGGAATCTTGTAGATGCTCGAGTTCTTTTACAATGTCATTCATGTTTGGTCTAAGTTTTGGTTGAATGGATAGGCATCTTAGAGCTAGTGTAGATGCTTTGTAGGCTCCATCCAATGAATATTGGCCCTCGAGACGACTGTCGATTATTCGAAAAATCTTGCGTTTGTTTGCAAGGTAAGGTTTTGCCCATTCCACAAGGTTGTGTTCTCTAGCCGGCCGATTCTTGTCTATTGCTCTTCTTCCAGATAGTATTTCTAGTAAAACAACTCCGAAGCTATAGACATCACTCCAAGTAGTTAGATGACCTAGAGCGAGAGAAAAAGCAAAGTGGTAATCACGGTAAGAGATGAAATAATGCAAAACGAGTAAAAAATAATGTCGATACCTGTGGCCAAATATTCTGGGGCTGCATATCCATAGGTACCCATCACCCGAGTCGAGACGTGGCTTTTATCGCCCCTTGGCCCATCTTTAGCCAACCCAAAATCAGAGAGTTTGGCATTGTATTTCTAAATGCAGAAGAAAATGAAGCTTAGGCTATCTTCTACTTGCTTGACATTAAAGAAAATGAAGCTTAGGCTATCTTCTACTTGCTTGACATTAAAGAAAATGAAGCTTAGGCTATCTTCTACTTGCTTGACATTAAAGAAAATGAAGCTTAGGCTATCTTCTACTTGCTTGACATTCATATGACAAACCAGAAAAGGCTTGTTTATACCGATTACTTACCGAGTCGAGCAAGATGTTCGATGTCTTGAAGTCTCGGTAGATCACTTTTCGTTCATCACCGTGGAGAAAGGCAAGTCCTTTTGCAGCACCAAGCGCAACCTTCAAGCGCAGGCTCCATGAAAGAGGTTGAAAATAGGATCCCCCTGCAACATTAGGCAATTGTCACGAAGTTCTAATGGGAATCTCAAAGGGTATCTGATGCAAAAAACTCACTTCGAAACAAATGATTTTCCAAGCTCCCTCGAGGCATGAATTCGTAAACGAGCAAACGATGCTCGTCTTCTAAGCAGTAGCCAACCAACCTCACAAGGTGACAATGAGAAAGCTGGCCTAGAAAATTCACTTCAGCCTATACGAAGAAAGAAAACACGAGATAAGTCGATAAGTCAAGATCTTCACAGCATAAACTGACCAAAAGATAGTTATATATTAAGAGCATCCATCATATGCTAGAATGAGCCATCTCTACGTGTGGTTTGGAGGAGAATAACTCACCAACCACTCTCTATGACCTTGAAAACCATCATGGTTAAGCCTTTTGACTGCAATAACCATTCCTGTGCCGGGCTTGGCAGCAGCAAAGGAATGCTCATCAATCCAACCTTTGAAAACTGAACCAAAACCTCCTTCTCCAACCACACTATCCGGGCGAAAGTTCCTCGTGGCTACCTTAAGCTCGGCGAAGCTGAAGCTCTTCAAATTGGAGGACTGCAAGATTTCACCTTCGGTTCGTGGAGTCAGTGGCATCGACGACAACGAGATCTTGCTCGTTATACTACTCCCGATATCGTTTCCATCAGTACTCACAGCATTAGAGTTCACCCCTGCACAATTCAATGCATGACCTCTAACAAACTAGCAATTGTATAATCGAATCAAGACCCTCACATGAGCATTTGCAAAGCTCATTCCTTTATATTTTCAGTTCAAGCAAAGATCTTGTTGCTGGGAATTCAATCATATGATCCGTTTCTCAATGTTCACAAGATAAATTTAAAACTCTACAAACATCAACTAGACAAGAAGGAAGCGTTCTAGTACCTGTATTACATGAGTTTTCAGCTTTGATTCTGGTACTTAAGCAGACACCCATTATAAGAAGCAAAGAAACACCACAACTTTCAGAGCTTTAGCACTGTAAAGAACAATCAAAAAGAGGAAGAAGGAGAAGAGAACTAAATAAGAAATCAATGTTCTACAAGATTTCATCTATGGGTGTCAAATCTTCAGCAATAAATGAGGAGACAAGATAAAAGAAGCCAAACCCATATGCAGAAATGAACAAAAAATGAAGAAACTCACATTTTTCTTCTCGTATCAGCAAAAAGAAACAAGGTCTGAAACAGAGTATTGCTCTGTTTTCCCAATACTCTCAGAAGGTTCAATGGAAGGAAGATTTGAGATGGGGGGAGCTCTGCGTTAATGGCCGACTGGTCCCTGTTTCTTTTCACACTCTCAAGCCAAGGAAGCAAAGCATGTGAAAGGCTCGGCGATTACAGCTTTGGAAGCTTTCTATTTGCTCCCTTCAATGGAAACTCAAAAATCTAATTCAATAAAGCTTTCTCGACCCCTTTTCACCTAAATCATGATTCATCCTCGTGACCCATCAAATGTTTTTGGTCTTCTCCACCCTGTTTACACTTGTCCAACCTGCCCTTCCAATAATCCAAAAGCTACAGTCGGTTGCTGACTTCTCTTTCTTTCGTATTTAATTCAAAGTTTTCAGGCCAACCAAATTCTGAATTAAACAAATTTTCCATGGCTTTGTTTCCTCTTCTGGACTTTTCTACGTATTTGTTGGCTTCTGAAATGAAAAGTTATGTGAAAATAACATATGAAATATTTAATTCATAAGGATGAGGCACTGACTAGGATGTAAACTATTGACCATTAAGTCAATCCATGGTAGATAAAAGATACCAAAGAACATGCACTGTACCGTTCTTATACATAAAAAAATCTCTTTTTTCAACCAAGTTGAGGAAATAATGTCACGGGAAGGGGCCAACATGTCTGCTAATGGCTCCCTTTATTGCTCTTCTTCTTCCCTTCTCGAGGCCCTTCCTGTGCAGGAGAGCCTTCCCTGACTAACCATCTTTTGCAAATACATTCACGAGAAGGGGCCTTGGCTGGGATATCTTCATTCAATCTCTCTTGGGATGTCCTACACTCATGAATCAAAGTTTCCTTTAGGAGTAAAGACAAGAAAAAAAGCTGAATAAAAATCTCTCTTCAACAGTAAATAATACCTGTCCCTGTCTTCATAGGTTTTTTTTTTTCCTGTGATCGTATGTAAATGCTGCGTTTTGTACTTCATTTTGTGGTCTCTGGTTTTGTAAAGCTTAAATATGATGACCCAGTTTGAAAAGGAGAAAGATCTTCATTTTGAGGAGGTGATGATTTGAAAATTACAGCAGAAGGAAACAGAGAAGCTTTGTGTGGAGTGAAATGGGTTGTCCTTTGTTCTTCTCAGGGTTTGCAAAATCCAGAAACCGAACACTCCAAAACATAGACATGGACATGGACATGGATACTTACTTTTGAGATTTGACTTCACTCTTGGACTTGGGAAGTCTAAATTTTGTGGGCCTGGTTGCAGATAAGTCAAGCATCCATGTCAGTCAAGTGGCCAAGAGGTACCCACGGCTTATCTGCTAGGGAGAAGACTGCTGATGCCCGACAGAGTACTGAGAATCTAGCAGAGGTAAAGGATGGATCATTGATAACATTCATGAGTCGCTGACTTGGCGAGTTTCTCATTGAATATTAAAACTTAGGTACGATCTGTTCTAACTCTTTTGACTTTGAAACTGCTCAGAAAGATTTGGATCATCCTATGATCATCCTCCTCCATGGATTTGGATTATGAATCTTGGCCTTCATTTAATCACCTAATATAACCGTCCAAACCCACCGCTAGCAGATATTGTCTATTTTAGCTTATTACGTATAGCAATAAGTCTCACGGTTTTAAAATGCATTTGCTAGAGAGAGATTTTTACACCCTTATAAAGAATGCTTCGTTCTTCTCTCCAACCGACGTGGGATCTCACACCAAGTCTTGATCAAATTGTTGTAAACAAATGTGTACTCGTATTCTTCGCTTCCTTGAGTTCTTTGAATAACTTTTCAGTACTTTCAACATCGCCTCTCTGTCAAAATTTCGATCATTGAAAGAGTGGTTTTCAACCATGGAGTTGACTTTCTAACTCTCTTGCTGCTGATTGCTATATTTGATCCTATCTCTAGTATTTTCATGGCGTCTTCCACCAAGCTAGCTTTCAAGCAACCTAAGCTAGAATTCAAAAGGTTATCGTAGGGTGTACATTGAACCCAAAAATCCAAAAATTCGGACCGACCCAACCTGAATCATAAGGGTTGGCTGGGTTATTTTCCTGGAACCGAATCTGTTCGGTTCGAATTTTGGATTCAGTGGGCAAAAGCTCGGGTCAACCCATTTGCTTCATAACCATTATTGCGTTTGGTTCACCCAATTAAAGGTCTCTGTTGCCATTTTAATGAGCCTATTTCCAGTGGTAGATTTTTCCATAGCCTCAGCAAAAGCTTCAACTACAGTGCAGCAAGGCACCTCATTTGGTTCCACTTTAGCTCGTTCCATGCCACCAAATATCTTCATCAACCCTCAATATTGTGTTCATTGGCTTCTACTTTCATAAGAATGTTATATGTAGAAATATGCCAGGGCATTCTTATTGCTCCCTTATCTAAAGATGTAATCACAAGATTGTTGAAGAGCAACTCTCCCTGATCACTCATTCCATAACCTGCCAAGAACAGAGAACAACTTTAATTATACATTTCTTTCTCGTGCCTTTTCTTGTGACTTGTCCAAGTTAACAAAAGGGGTCCTACTATCTACTAAAGCAAGTTCATAATTTAGAAGTTGCACGCAATTCTCAAGGGACAAGGCAATTCTTGCTTATAAAGCAGGCCTGATATGGCAACATCACAGTGACTCATCAATACAAACAGATAATATCACACTAAGAAACAGAGTAATCAAGAACAAAACAATGTCCTCTTTTATGCATTATGTAGTGATGAAAGCTAATAGAGGTTTCATTACTAAAGAGAAGACATTGCATCCAAATTCACTGTTTGTGCAACTTTTCAGCTTCTATATGATTTAAGCAATTACTTGGAATTACTATTTCCCAGCGTCCTGCTCTTGTTTACATCCTTATAGACATACAAAAAACTACTCAGTACAGCCAACTCTACTGCGATACAAGATTAGAATTCATGACATCCAAGAAAACTGGAAACGAAAAGGGAGTTTATAGAGGGAGATGAAGATAGCTACCTCGAGTGTGCACTTGTTCCTCTCAAGCTTCCTTAGGCGATTAATGGAGTGACATATGTCGTCTCGACGAATAGGAAAGCTGTCGCCCATCAAACTCCTGAAGGCATACACAACCGATTCTTCCTTCGGTGTTCTCTCAATTCTCTCGATTCGATTTCCATCAAACATTATCCTTCATTGCCAGACATAATACTCATTCATGTGCACACCAAACAGGCAGCACCGCATATTCTCGGACTTTTCATGCCAACCCCAACATATCAAATGCCCCCATAAACCCGCTTCAAGCAATTTCAATGTAGCTCACAATTTTGTTCTTTTATTTCAAATGGCACCAACATAACACAACAAAGAAATACATGAAAGAGAATGCTCTTCCATTACAGAAGCAACATGAGGCTCGCAATTGCATAACTTCAAGCCAAAAGGTAAACTGAGTTTAAACTTAGACATATAATCAGATTCTTCCCGAGTATAGTATCTTTGATAATCAAACAAAAAAAATTTAAATGAACCATTCTTTCTATATACAAACTCACCAAGTATTGCTGAGATGAAGAGATGGTAATAGCAAGAGAAGTATAATCATTCAACCATAATATGTTTCTGCCATTTTCCTAAGATCTGTAGTAAACAATCACCTGCACCTGCTAATAAACAGGGGAAACAGGAGTCGAAGGTTGGGCATGAGCACTAGGAAGAGTATTGGCATCATCAGCACTATGCCTAGGAGCCATGCGGATTTGTGTTGTATTGATCGTAGTGGATATGGAGTCTTGTAGCTGTTCTAATTCTTTTACAACCTCATTCATGCTCGGTCTAGACTTGGGCTCAACGGACAGGCATTGCAATATCAGACTAGATAACTTATAGGCTGCATCCAGTGAATATTGGCCTTCGAGTCGGTCATCGATTATTCGAGCAGTCTTACGTTTCTTTGCAAGGTAGGGTTTCGCCCATTCTATGAGATTGTGTTCTCTAAATGTTCGATTCTTGTACATTGCTCTCCTTCCAGACAACATTTCCAATAGAATGACTCCAAAACTATAAACATCACTTGAAGTGGTTGCCTGACCTACAGTGAGTGAAAGGACATAGTGGTCAATGTTAGATACTATAAACCTTCGTCTGTTGAAAGAATACAACAAACTAAGTTGACTCGACGTGTTTTAACGTAGTAGCCTTAAGTCTCTCAGACTAGTAATGATACAAAAATGTTATTTATCAGGAAAAAGAAAGCAGAATCAAGGATCCTTGACAGCAATGAGTTGAAAGTTGATGACAGCATGGCGAATGTGAAAATCTGACAGAAATGTTTTCTTGTTGTGTTGAATATTACCTGCAGCAAGATACTCCGGAGCTGCATATGAGGTGCCCGAAATCCTGGTAGAGACATTGCTTTTACGGCCTGTTGCTCCCGTGGCTTTGGAAAATCCAAGATCATAGAGTTTGGCATTGTAGTCCTGAAAATAAAAGAAAATGAAGCAAGTGGCTCGACGACTATCTTCCGAACAAGTAAATATTTAACTTTAGGAGTTAGATCCCAGTTCCATGATGCCCTTTTTAACATAGGCACAAGGAAGCTTTTATTTTCACCATTGACTCACAGAATCAAGCAAAATATTTGAAGTCCTTAAGTCACGGTAGATCACTTTTCTTTCATCACTGTGGAGAAAGGCGAGGCCTTTTGCAGCACCAAGTGCAACCTTCAAGCGGAGGCCCCAAGAAAGCGGTTGAAAATAGGACCCCCCTGCAATGACAACTCGAGTGTCAAATCACAAAATATTTCAAATGTTCATAATGCGTCGCATCAAAAGATAGGGAAAACTCACGAAGGAACAGATGGTTGTCCAAACTTCCTCGAGGCATGAATTCATACACAACTAGTTGTTGCTCGTCCTCCACGCAATAGCCAACCAACTTCACAAGGTGAGAATGAACAAGTTGGCCCAGAAAATTCACTTCCGCCTATAAAAGAAGGCATGACATGAGTGGATCTGTGCAGCATAGATGACAAATTTGTTTAACAAATAACTATTCTACCATAGCAGATGGTTAAATTAAGATAATCCATCGATGCTAAAAGAAACCGATGTGGAGAAGAAAACAATTGTTACGACAACGAGTCATCTCTGCAGTTAATCTCAAAGAGGTAACTCACCAACCACTCCCCATCACCTCGAAAACTATCTTGGTTAAGCCTTTTGACTGCAATAGCCAATCCCGTTCCAGGCTTGGTAGCAGTTAAGGAATGCTCATCAATCCAGCCCTTGAAAACTGAACCAGAAGCAGGTTCTCCCAGAACATTAACAGGACAGAAGTTCCTTGTCGCCTCTTTGAGCTCTGAAAAAGAGAAGCTCTTCAAATGGGAGGATTGCCAGATTTCGACCTCACTCCGAGGGGCAGGCAGTACTGAAGCCAATGAGATTTTGCTACTTGCACTACCATTGTCCATTCCATTACTGCTATCACTATCAGCTTTACAATTCTTCACCCCTGCACAAACAAATGCATGACCAGTAATGAACCAATAGCCATTCACCTGACTCAAAACCCTCATAAATGCACGTGAATAGATGTCTCAACTACTTCATTTCAATCAAAGAAAGAACTCGTGCCCATTATATGATCAAATATCAAAGTGCTCAACAGGACTTCATATAAAGGACATTATTCCATTGGAGAAAGCGAACAGGTTCAGTTAGATCAATAATAAATCTCAAAAAACTTCAAAATGATGAACAGAGCCTAAAAACTTCCACCATATTTTCATAAAGAAGGAAAACTGGCCTTCTTATACCTGTATCACCATCAATTTCTACTACAGGTTTGGTACTCAAGCAGATGCCCATCAGAAGCAATCAAAGGACTCGCCAACTTTCAGAGCTTTCAAGCTGATACCAACAAAAAGAGGAAGAACAAGAGAACAAGATTCAAACCAATATTCTACCAATGAAACCAAGAAGAATCTCAGCAAACCCATATAAAGAAAGAAAAAAGAAAACAACCAAAAGAATCCCAAATAGCTAGCCACCTTTCAGTGTATCAGAATTAAGATTCTTGTTTCAAGAATTGTTTCGTTAGCAGGAAAAGCAGAAGAAGACTGAATTCAAGAGAATTAATCAAAACCCAAAAGTTCCTGCTAAATTTTCCCACTTCAATTGGCTAAAATACAGAAATGGGGAAGAAGGGTTGCACAGTCCCTGACGGACAGGAAGTTCGTATTAATGACAAGTATGTTGGTCCCCTCTTTTCTGTCATCACACTAAGAGGATAAGCCCACGAAAGGCTCCTATTGCAGACTGAGAGACGTTCGATTTCGGCCTCTTCAAAGAATCACAAATGGGGGAAAGAAAACAAGATTGCTGGCGACAAATCGGCACCGAGTAATCAACACGCGAGCAAACAAAAATTTGGCAGAGTAAGGGATTGGATAACCATTCCTCATTTGACTTTTCAATCGTTTGGATTGAACACGCAGGAACGCCTCGATCATTGGAGCTCGTTTTCGAGCAATGGGCCACACGTGTATCCCAATCAAGTGGCCGAAAACCCCCCATTTTAATGGAGCAGAGCAGATGAATAAAGAATTGAAGGGACCGGCACTGTGTCGGCGGCTCAAAGGCCCTCTCGCCGGCGAGCAAGCAGCAGCTGGAAGACAAAGGTCAAATGGCGGTGGTGAATCTGATGACTTGAAGACAAATTTACAATTAATTTGTCCGTACAGTTTTTTTGGTGGCTCCAATCATTTTTTGTGAATAAATATTTTGATTTGAAATGAGTGACGGTTAAGGGTTTTTTTCTTTTTTTTTTTTCTTTTAATTTTATTATTATTATTATTTTTGGTAATGATTTTAGGTTTTATTATATAGTTTATGAAGCTTATTAATTTAATAGTGTATGATTAACGTAACGAGTGACGAAAGTGACCTCAATAGGCAACTGAATATTCTTTAAATGACGTGCCATAAATTAATTATTAATTATTAATAATAAGGATTTTTTAATTAATTGTCATAATGATGGAATACTTTCTTAATAATATATTAGTCAACCTCTAAAATTAAAATTGCATGAATATAGGCGCTGGGATTCCTTTTTAAAAAATTATCTTAAAATCAAAACTAATAATTAAAATAAATTTGGTATATTATTTGATATTTCAAATTTACCACTTTTTTATGTTAATTTAAAATAATAATAAATTCTTAATTTAAAAGTTTAATTGAAAAGGATTTTTTTTTAATTGAGAAGGGAATTATAAAGGATTATTTATAATTAAAATAGGAAATAAAAATTATAAAGGAAGAATAATTTTTTCACATGGAACCGAACTCAAATTCTTAGTAAGACATTCTCATTTAAATTTCGAAGAAATTTAATAAAAAAAAATCTAAGAAAATGAGTCTTTTCTCCTGCCATATTAAAACTATGGGTAACATATAATAATTTTTTGATTCTTGAGGTTCAAAATTAGTATTTGATTTAATTCTAATTTTACAAAAAAACGTCATTTTTAGTCCCTGAGATCGGTCATTCCCGGCACTTCATAAGACATACCCATTTCCTATACTTGGTAGTAATGATCGAAAAATTACCCAAAACCTTCGAGCCGGCTTTCATGGTGGCCTAGGTGATAGAGATGTGTTTTGGGGAGTGAAAGAAAGGAAAAGTTAGACTTTATTGTTAGGTCATTCTATTTCGGTGCAGGGTCTATTTCTTAGGATAGTCACGTTCTTAAGATAGGGTGGATCTAGGCAAGTCAAACAATGTTTTCAAGGGTGGATCTAGGCAAGTCAAACAATGTTTTTAAGGGTGGATCTAGGCAAGTCAAACAATGTTTTCAAGGAGTTAGGCGGAAAGATAAGAGGTTCCTAGCTAAAAGTAGTTTGTCTTGTCTTTCAAAAGGGGTGGAAAACAATTGAGAACAAAGTGGCGATCGGAGTAACAACGGAGAATGGGCGGCTACCGAAGCGAGGGGTTCACTTGGATGGATGAGCAGTAGAACCAAGAGATGAAGAGAAGAGAGACAGTAGAGAGGGTTGGGAAGAAATCCATCAAATCTTAGGCCATTTCATAGCTTCAATATATTCTACCTCCTAATCATAGTCCAAAATGGCCTTTGAAGCCTCTAAGAAGGTGTTCCACATCAAAATCATTATAAAAAAAGTATGAAGATAGATTTGCGAATTTGAAATAGGAATCAGCA